AGTGCTTTTAATGCTTATAATAGAATATGTAAATACATTTTTATGTATAGGCTGGGTGCATGTTCACTTTAAATGAAAGCAGCTTGATAAATATGAACAATCACCAAAAAAGAAACAGGGATACCCTTTAACCACTTCAAGTCGGGACACTTTTACCCCCTTCCTGCCCAGGCCAATTTTCAGCTTTCAGCGCTATCACACTTTGAATGACAATTGTGCGGTCATGCAACACTGTACCCATATGAATTTTTTAGCAATTTTTTTGAGACAGATAAAGCTTTTTTTTGGTGGTATTTATTCACCACTGGGATTTTTTATTTTTTTTGCTATGTAAATTAAAAATCCAAACATTTTGAAAAAAAAGTGTTTTTCTTATAAAATTTTGAAAATAAATAATATTTCATCATGAATCTTGGCCAAAATGTATTCCTTTATCTTTTTAGTAAAAAAAAAATGACCCAAATTAGTTTATTAACAGAAATTATAATTTTTAAACTTTTTTTTATATTTTTTTTTTTTTTTATATTATTATTTATGTTTTTTTACATACTGTCACCCAAGCAGTACAGTGTCACCATGATGGCACTGTACTACTTGTGGGGGGGTGATGAAGATTTTTTTTTTTTTACACTGATTGCTTTTACACCCATAAAGGCTGAAAAAGCAATCATTTTTCCTTCTCTCTGGCCTCATTCTTGCAGCAATTGAGAACTACTGTGTGAGCTGTGATTGGTCACAGCTTGTCACATGGTACAAGGATGTTGTGAATAGCCTTGTACCATGTGTCCTCTGTGATCATTCACAGATTTCACAGGTAGTAAGCAATGATGTCAGAAGTGACATCTTGCTTACTACTCTGCATGTGATCACTGATTGGCCAATCAGTGATCACATGATCAGGACCTCGCACAGAGGTCCCGTACAACGATTGGTGTTCCACTGTGACCAGAGCACACAGCGGGCACCGGATCGCGGTGCTGCGCTCTCCCAGGGAACGCACACAAGCAGGGGGCGGGGAGGCCATTTATAAACGGCCATCCGACCCTGCACTGGTGGCTAAAATGAAAGGAAAAGAGGTTTCAGATCTGCTTACAGAAAAGGTTCTTTACTGTAAGAGCACTGAAAAGGTGGAATCATTTTCCAAATATTTGATTATAGTTAACTCAGTAGATACTGTAGGTTCATAAAGAAGGTAGATATGTTCCCTAATGTACAAAATATCAACAGTTACTAATGCTTCTTAATGATATATATTTTACAAAAAAATTGAGAATGTTGATTAAGTAAAATATATGATTGCCCTTAGGGATCAAGAAGATTTTGCACCAAATTGGTTTATATTTTTAAAGGGGTTCTAGTCACCTCTGCCAGACAGTTGGCCCAGTACCAGCCCCAGTCTGCTGATGTAGCAGCATGCTGATGAGGTCATTCCTCATTTCTCCTTTCCTTTAAAGTTACTCTTTTACCATAAGAAAAAGAAAACAAGTATAAAGTAAAGACTCCTAAAGGACACTGCACGTACCTCCTGTAGTCTATAGTTTCTTCCACTAGCTCAGAATCCAGCACTACTTTGTGCCCCATCCTGCCTTATCTACGATTCTATTGGCCAACGAGGCAACCATAATTACGATGAGCTAATAGGAATGCTTACCAAGTGAGTTGACACACTTTGACACTACCAGGAAGTGTCAGAGCTCTGCCCAATTAAAACAACAAAAGATTCGGAGATTATAATGAGGATTGCATGCTGCTACAAATATGTGCAGGTGTTTCTAACTTTACGATACTGTATCCACTTGCCCTCCTGAGGATTTACCCCCCTTCTTGACCAGGCAATTTTTTGCCCTACGGCACTGCATTACTTTAACTGACAATTGCACGGTCATGCAACGCTGCACCCAACTGAAATGTTGCTTCCTTTTTTTCCCCACAAATTCTTTCGGTGGTATTTGATCACCTGTGCATTTTTTATTTTTTGTCATAAATTTAGGCCAAAATGTATTCTGCTACATCTCTTTGCTAAAACAAATCCCAATTTGTGTAAATTAATTGGTTTACGTGAAAGTTATAGTGTTTACAAATGGCAGTATAGATACTGGAATTTATTTTTTTTTTTACTAGTAATGTCGGCAATCAGCAACTTATAGCGGGACTGCAGCCGACATTCTGACACTGGAAGGAACTGCCTTGGTGTCACTGACATCCCCAGTGACACCAATACAGTGATCAGTGCTAAAAAAAAAGCACTGACACTGTACTAATGGCACTGGGCAGGAAAGGGTTAACATGAGGGGCAATCAAAGGTTTAACTGTGTGCAGGGAGTGTTTCACTGTGGTGGGGCAGTGTCAGTGTGCTTCACTGTAATCACACTGCTCTGGATGGCTATGCTGTGAATAGCCATCCAGAGCAGTGTGCCCAAGCTGACAGGGAGGAAGACTGTTAGTAATCAAAACAGTCCTCCTCCCCGTCAGATATGCTTGGTAATCACCAGGCACCAGCAGGTAATCACTGGCCAGGACCCGGTGATTGACAGGCGCAACCACATGATTTTGTGCACCCCTGTCGCCCTGTAGCAGTATATCTGCTATAGGGTGGTGGGAAAGCGGTTAAGCATGTCCTAACTGAATATTTGTGCTGTCCTCTACATGAAAAATACAGTGATTATGTTTAATTAATGCAAAACTGG